GAGAACTGTGTACAAATGAGAAAAGTTTTTGCAGCCAACGCTGCGTATTATTATTATTAGTTTTTCGCCTCTCACACTTGGCCCGAGAAAAGTTTTGTGCCTTGCGCTTATTAGGAGCGTCGCTGCTGCTGCTGATGCCTCTGCTCCTGCTGCTGCTGCCGTTGTACATAGTAAGGGTTAGTTTCTCGCTGTCTATTCGAGCTGTTTCATACTTCATTGCTTTTCAATTTGATGAGGCGTTGTCTATAATAATCAGGCTGCCTGCGCAGCCAGAAAATGAGCCGCTCAAAGTTTTTGTTGTTGTAGTTGCTGTTGTTGTTGTTATGCTATTGATAAGAAGAGCGAACCGTAAGGCGAACATTTTCACATACGCTTTCCAGCCGACTGACTGATGGATGGACTGACAGAGCAATTGTATGGCAGTTCTCTCTCTCTCGCTCTCTCTCTCTCTCTGTCTCTCTCTTGTTATCTTGCTGCCTCTGCTTTTGTTAATTTACTTTGTAATTTATCAACGCTGTTTGTTTGGGAGTGCGCGCATATTTTTATAGAGTTGATTTTTAATCTTTTGCAATCATTTTTGGGCAACAGCGCGGCGTAGGAAATGAATATTTATAAGTATGATGAATGAGCGAGTCGGTAGGCAGGCAGCAGTCAGCTGATTTACTGATGTATGACACACGAAAAACAGATACACACAGAAACACACACACACACACACATATACACGCACAGGGACAGCTCAGGATAAAGGTAAGGAAATTAATGCGCATTTAGAAACATAAATCTGTGTTGCGCTCGAGGAAATGGCACGGATTTCACAATTTATTTATAAATGAGAGAGCGAGAAAGGGCAGCAGCAAGACAGAGAGAGTGAGAGAGAGAGAGAGAGAGAGAGAGAGAGAGAGAGAGTGAGAGAGACAAAGAGTGTGTCAGCTCTTGGCCACACACAAACACCAGGCATGGCAGACCTGGCTTGAGGTACGCTGCGTATGAGTAATATTAATTTGACTTTAAGTCGCTCACTCGCTCGTTCGCTGGCTTGGCTCAATTTGCTCGAGCTGTAGCTGTGTGTGTGTGTGTGTGTGTGTGCGTATGTATGTGTGCAGTTTTAAAATACGCAACGCAACGTAATGTCAACGTATGCAATTTACGTGACATCATTACGTGTTAGACAAGTACAAATTACGCGTAAAAGCGAGAGACGAAGACGAAGCTGGCGACAATATGAGTTTGATAATGATGAAACATGGATGTGTGTGTATGTGTGTGTGTGTGTGAAAGAAAGAGAATATCAAGATAAATAACTAAACGTGTGCATTCGTGTGTGTGTGTGTTTGTGTATGTGTGTGCTGAAGCAAATGAAATGAAAGTCATCAGACTCTAGATATGGCACAGAGAGAAAATTGCGTATGCGACACAGACAAAAGGCGACAAAGGACAATGTGCAACAATTTCGTTTCATTTAGAATGTGGAGAAGGGGAACTGGTCAACATGCGTTGGAAATTTGATGAAATTCCAGCTCGTTTTTCTGCTTGATTTAATTTTTGCAAATAAACAAATCAAAAGAAGTGGAAGAAGAGGAAGAAGAGCGACAACAGAGGAGCAGAGAAGCAGAGGATGCGAAATTTGTTGTGGCTGCGAATGCAAATGTCAGCGGCAAAGTTGCACTTGACTTCTGAGCTGAGCCTTCTCAAGGAAGCAATTAAACTTGTCCCTGTATAATTGCATTTGGCCTAGGCTTTTTGGCCCAAACAAAAGCCAAAGTCAAAAGTCGGCTGCTGCTGCTGATGCTGATGCTGCCGTTGAGTTGCCAAGTGCGCTGCTGAGCTGATAGCGGCCAAAAAGTTGAGCACTTTAATTTCTTCGAAATTTCTTGGCCAAAAAGTAGCGGCAGCATCAGCATCAGCAAAGGCAGTAGACAAAGCAAAGCAACAAACAAAAATGTCGACTTGATTGCGTTGCTGATGGGCCGATGGGTCTGGCAACGAGGCAACGAGGCATCGCAGCAGCCAGCGAGCCACACAATTGTGCGGACAGATTGCCGACGAGTTGCGACTGCTGCAGCTTGAAGTTTGAATCCCCAGCGGATTAGAAAAGTTTAAATTGTTGCCGCCAAGCGCTCGCAGAGCTCAACATACACAGAGCTCTGTGAGCTGTGCGCTGAGCATTGAGCGCTGAAAAGCTAAAGTAAAATCGAAGCAACTGGCAAATGAACGTCGAATGAATGAAGGGAGCAACGTAACGATTAGTGCTTTCATGTCCTTTGGCAAAGTTTAAAGGTCATCCGTTTGTACGGCTGTTGGCATCCTGCGTCTCTCTCTCTCTCTGCTAGCCCTGCTAGCTCTGCCTTTGCTGCCCCGGCTCGACTCGCCTTCTGCTGATTTGACACATCAACTTTGTCAAGTTTTTGCCACAGCGACAGTCGACGGTCGACGGTCGACTCTTATGAGCAATGGCTCTGCATTTCCTTTCTCCCTCTCGCACTCTGTCCCTTGCTCTTTGTGCTGGTGTGTGCGTGTGTGTGTGTGTGCAGAAGCAATTTGTGCAATGGACATTTTTGGGCGCTGCGTTGCTTTGATAAGCGTTGCCAGCTTGAAAATGTCTTAAAAGATTGAGCGCAGTGCACTGACTTTTTGCGGCTGCCACCTGCCTCTGGGGCATCCTCGATTCGAGGGGCAAACTCTTTTGCGACAGCTAACGTGAACTGGAGCTTACGTAATGGGGTAACGTAACGTGGGCATGGTAATAAATCTCAATGGTTACGAACGTTTTCTTATGCAACAATATTGCTCAAACTTTTTACGTAATCGCTTACGTCATTTCTTACGTAATTGCCACTGTTATGTAATTCTTAACGTTGTTTCTTACGTTATAGGAATGACGTATCCTTGCACCATAATAATAATTTAATATTTAATCAATTTATTTAATACGTAATACGTAATTTCTTGCCTACACCATTGTTTACGTAATCCGTTACGTCGTTGCTTTTGTTGTTGTTTACGTCATTCTTCAGTCATTCACTTCAGAACACTATTGCGTATAATATACTCGTATTATTATAATATAATTATATGATATACTCGTATATACGTTTTTTGGAGTATTGCCTACGTAATTGCTTACGTTATGTCTTACGTAGTTTCCATTAACGTAATTCTTAAATTGTTTACGTTATTGCTTACGTAGTTGCCTTAGTTACTGTCCACGCCATTCTTCACTTACACAACACTATTGCTGAGCCTGCCTCTGCGTAATGTACTTATAATATAGGATAATATACTCGTATGTAAGTTCTGGCGTATTTCCTACGTAATTGCTTACGTAATATCTTACGTCATTTCTTACGTCACTTCTTACGTCCCATCTTACGCGGTTACATTTTATATATTTCGTATATTATTTATATATACCATTGTATAATATATAATATGCTTATAATATAGGATAATATACTCGTATGTAGGTTCTGGCGTATTTACTACGTAATTGCTTACGTAATGTCTTACGTAATTGCTTACGTCATATCTTACGTCCTATCTTACGCGGTTACATTTTATATATTTCGTATATTATTTATATATACCATTGTATAATATACTTATGATATAGGATAATATACTCGTATGTAAGTTCTGGCGTATTTCCTACGTAATTGCTTACGTAATATCTTACGTCATTTCTTACGTTACTTCTTACGTCATATCTTACGTAGTTACATTTTCAGCTCCCGTCGGACCGATTTTTAGGTACTTTAATCAGATTTATTTCTGGCTTTTGTGCTGCTATCTACATTATTCGTAACTACTTTATAGGGATAAGGAATTAAAACTAGTTTCGTAAAAAAATAGTGGCACAATGTTTCGGTATACGTTCTTGTAACGTAAGGGACTTCGGTTGTTACGTAGTTCTCAATAAGTTTATGGCTAAAAGCCTTGTTTACAGTATATATAGGTACATGTCCAGACCTATGCTTCCTTCTGTTGCCTTAAGTAAATCTTATCAAATTGAACGAGTATTTTCTCGTCCTCCCTTAAGTAGAGTTTTCTGATTTTAACAGTAAATTGACATTCTTTTAAAAAAGCATTTTGCTGGCTCATGCATAATGAGCTTGTCAATAAGTTTATCAATGCAAGAACTACTCGAGAAATGACCCAAAAAGAAAAAATCAAGTGCTGTGTAAATTATGCAAATCTTTGCCCATTTTTTTTTCTCCCGTCGCTCTGTATATCAAAAGGCTGCAAGGGGCTGGGCACTTCGGAGGTGTGGAGTGAGGGGCGCAGTTTGCTGGGCTGTCAGAAACAAGCGTGAAACATGACAACAGCGGGGCAGCCCAGTAAAAACAATATGGCGCCCTGACCAGAGCCGGAGTCAGAGGTGGAGTCGGAGCGGGGCGCCCTTGTCCGGCAGCCATTGCCTGCCTTTGACAGTTCTACGTTGTTTTGCTATAACTTTTTTTTCTGTTCTCCTCGAATCCCCCCACACACCGATCTCTAAACCAGTGCTGTATATTCTTTTCGAGGTGGTATTTTTATTATTTTTGTTGTTTTTCTTGTTTTTTTTTTTTTTTTTTTTTGTTAAATGTCAAATTTTTGCAGACAGTTTTGACAGTTTATCGAAGCGCAAACGTAATTTCAGCTGACGTGTTTGTAGGTGTTGAAAATAAGAAAGAACGAGAGATTTCAGTTTTGGGTTCGTGCCCGAATGCTCACACACACATATACACACACACACACACACTCAAGGTGTAAATAAAAAGTTTCGTTGACGCTGCACTTTGGCCAAGCCAAGAAACTTAACTTACATAAGGAGCGACGGGTCAAGTTTTGGGTAGCTCTAAATGTGTTTGGCAGTAAAGTAATTATATTTCTGTGGCACCTATGGCGACTTGATTGCCGAGTGGCAAATTGAATTGCCAAATGGCAAAATAAAATTATGTATAAATGTATGTATGTATGTATGTATAGTATAGTATACAAGTTTGTTTTTAGTTACTTACCGCTGCGACTTTCATTTTCAGCTGGCTTCAGCTGTAAAGCACGGTTCATCTGCAAGAGACAGAGCAAAGTGAAATGTGATGAAAAGTTTGCGCTAACGAGTTGCACTTCAGATAAAGCTTGCGCAATTGCTATTGACATATGCTTATTATTATGTTCGAGCAGTTTTAAAAGCAAGTCAACAGAAAATCCATACCCAAATTGAATTTGGCCATTTCGATGATGTAGCACTCTTCATAAACACCTACAAACAGCAGCATTTCAAGCATTTAAATGCCACTCAATATGCAAGCCCATCTTTGGCTCACTCTCTGTCTCTCTCTCATTCACTCTTTCGTTCTCCTCTCTCTCTCTCGCTCTCTCGCCATGGTAGTCTCTGCACATTTGCGCTCATTGCCTTTTACCCACGACTGGGCAGCCACATCCTGTGCCGCTTCATGCATCATTAAAGCTTAAATCTCACCCAGGCGACCCATGTCGACTGGCGGGCAACACTTAACGCCCATCCACAGTCCACAGCCATATCCTCCGACCCCGAACCGCTGGCAACCCCAAAGGTTGCCACTGACTCTGTAGCTCTGCAGCTCTACAGCACTACAGCTCGGCTACGTGTTGTGGTCACCTTTTGGGTTTATGGCAAATGAGTTATTTGGATGGTAGCCATACGAAAAATGCCATTAAAAGACGTTGAAATGAAATGCATTAAAATAAAACTTAATTGAAGGCTTTATGCCAAGCAGAGCCGAGCAAATCAATAAACCCGGACCGAAATTCGCATTTGATGATTGCTTTTTATATGAAACCAGGTGTCATTTTGTTTCGCCCCGGCCCGGTCCGATTCGGCCTTAGATTGGCTCATCAGCGCTGGAGCTGCCAGTGGCCATGTTCGTGTCATTAGTGCGATGAGGGACGACAGCTTGGCCGGGTTGGCCGGCTCCGGCCTGCTGCCTGTCGCATGCATATTTTATAATCAGCCATTAGTTTGCGGCAATTGAAAATGATTGAAGCTTTTAACTGCAAAATTCAATTGCTTTATAGAGAGTCTCCGCAACCTGGCCTCACCTGGCCACGCTTGGACGTCATGTCGTAAAATATTTAATGCCCTGGTTGGCGCATAGCGTTGCGCCTGAATTGTTATTGCTTGTTACCCGAAATTTTCGGGCCCGTTGGGCGGGTCTAGTAACTCTTTTTTAGTTGCTGCTAGTTGCTGTAATACGGCTGCCGTGGCCCACGATCCATTAGGCGGGCGAGTAATTAAAATTGCGATTTATGCATGCGCATGAACAAGACCCCAATTTGGGCGCCCGCTTGTTTGTAATTCAATTATGTTAATGATTGGACAACATTTACCGTATTTACATTAATGCATAATGAATGAACGCAAAGGTTCGCATCGACTCCACTGGACACACACACACACACACACACACTCTCTCTCTCTCTCTCTCTCTCTCTCTCTCTGTCCTTCACTCTGCTCTCGTGCCTAAATGCATCGTCAGGCTGCATTTTTTTTTTTTTTTTTGCTTTTGATTGTAAAACTCGAGCTGTTGCTAAACAGTCAATGAGTGGGCTGGCTGATGGCAATTAAGTGCATTTCTCTGTCTGACCAAAGGCATGCCAGCCAGYCAGCCACGCCTGCCACGCCTCGTTGCCCACAGGCGCGCCACAATTGGCGTCGAGCATAAATTCGCTTTTGCCTTTTACTCAAAGCTCAGCTGGATAAATTAAGTGGTCGATGAACTGAAGCCTTGTTGATTTTGTATACAGCGACGCCAATGCCACCATGTTGTTGACAGTGACAGCATGCAGGACGACGATTGTTGTTGTTGTCGTGGTTGTTGTTGTTGCTGTTGTTGCGACTAGGAGTGGGTCTGGCGATGACGCCGCAAAATTTAAACCAATGTTTAACCAAAAATGTTCATTTAGTCGCACGTACGTTGGCTACGTTGCTGCGGTCTGGCAGCTGGAGTATTAATTTTTTTTTTTTTTTCTGGCTAGCGGGGCCGGCGTCTGTGTGGCTGGTAAATGATTGATGTGGCCGGGGTAATAAATTGGAAAACGTTTTCCAGCTCAAGCAGCAGCATCTTGGCTCAGCTCTGAGCTGCATTGCATTGCAAGTTTCCAGCTGCCTGCTCCTGCTGCTCCTGCTGCTGGCTGCTGTTGCTTTTGAATGCTTTATCAACGTCGACACCCGCAGCTGCTACGCACACAGCATGCAAAAACAACACTGAAATGCTCACATATCGAACCAGGCACACACACACACACACGTACTCACACACACATGAGGGGTTCGAAGAGTCTATGGCATAATTGTCTGGCTTCTGTGTGCAGTTTTTCCTGCTGCATTTTTGATTGCAATCGTTGGTTAATGAACTCAATACACTCTGGCTCCCTCTCCACGCCCCCGCCAGCTCTCTGTGGGCTCTATTTGACCTCAATTTGATGTGGCTCTATGGACTGTAACAGTTTGCTTTAACACACAGCCTTTGCAAGCCAAAACAATTTGTTTGCTGGCTTTAAGTCAGCTCGTACTCATCAAGCATCGCTATTCCCCCCCCCCCCCACACACACCTCCCCTCCTGCTTGTTTAGTGTTACTTAAGTGTAACAACATTGCTAAGGCATCTGAGTTGTTCTCAGCCTCTGTTGTTGCTTCATCTGCGGACATCGGTTTTTGGGCTGCAGGCTTTGCGTTCGCTCAACACAAAGGCCCTGCTAATTATGGGTAGCAAAAAGGTTTCCCTCTGTGTGTCAGTGTGTGTGTGTTTGTGTGTATGTGTGGGAATTGGGAGCGTAATTAGCGCACATAATTTGAAATTTAAATGTAGCCAAAAATGCGCTGCGAACCCACATCTTTTGGGAAGCCTTTGAGAGTCAAAATGTTAATTAAATCTTTTGCTGGCGAACCAAAAACAAAATAAAGAACAAGAAGAACGAAATACAGCAACAAACATTTCTTTTTTTTTTTTTTTTTTTTCAGTAATTGTAGTTTGCCTTAGCACACAATTAGCTTTATGACAAAGTGTTGAGCCGTTGACAAGGAGCGAGAGCAACTCGGGCTGGACTGTAGTCGGCGCCAGTGGGAACGTAAAACCGCAAATTTTAGCGCCTCGCCAAGTCGTGCATGATATGGCGGACTAGTCCAGGCGACGCCGCCTACGCGTATGCAATGCCAAAACCGGCCAAGTGCCAAGTGCCAACTGGCAAGTGCCAAACTGCCAAGCCAACAACAGCAACCACTAGAGTCGCCTAGTCCATGTCTATATCTGTTTGTGTGTTTGTGTGTGGGTGAGTGCATGAACCCCACATAAACTGCGTTAGTTTATGATGCCCCAGCGCCAAAGTAGGAGTTGCCCAGTCAAGCCATAAGTGCCTACATCTGCATCCCTTGCTGCAATTAGAATGCGGCGCCGTCTATTGAACCAGCCAAGTCACAACTGCCCATGCTCTTACTCTGTCTGTATCTCTCTCCATCTCTCTCTCTCTCTCTCTCTCTCTGTCTCTCACTGTCTCTGGTCAGTTGCGCTTTGTTGTTTTTATGCATTCGCCAACTCAACTACATAAAATGGAACAACGAAAATGCAATTAAAACTACGTTTTATGGCTTTGTTATGGCAGCAGCAGCAACGTCTAATACAGAGAGTGACTGTGTGCGAGAGAGAGAGAGAGAGAGAATCCGCCACATGAAAAGCGATTTTTATTATGCTTTCGACAAGCATGATGATGATGATGATGATGATGCTGCTGCTGCTGCTGCTGTTGGCAATGATCATTATCGCTGGTCTCGAATTGAGTGCGCTGCAAGTTTCTGTTGATAGAACAGTAATACTCCTCTAAGCAATGTTTGCTTATTGAAAACGCAGCTTAAGCTTCACTTTCTTTATATCGAAATTGTATGGATTTAGTTCTTTCGAAAAATTTATCAAAAATCATCAAAGTTTTACGCAAAAGTTTTTTGTGTGCAGCTGCTGATAGAGAGTTGCAAGTTGAGAGTTGAAATTTTGTCACTGGCAAAGCCAGCAGCAGTGGCAGGAGGAGTAGCGGTAGCAGGACCAGCGACATGTTGGTGTGGAGCTGGCAGCTAAAAGCAAAGACAATGTTGCGCCTCGAGCGTGCAACAGCAAAACAAACTAACGAGCTAGCAAGCAAAACAATAGCAGGAGCCCCGCCATCCATCTCACCTACGCTTAGAGCACGCTTTACTGCTGCGCCTGTCTCTGTGTGAGTGTGTACGTGTATGTGTGTGTGTCTTCTCGTAACAACCTGCCATAACTGTAGCTTAATCAAAAGTTTTTTGCACTGCGCTGTAGGGCAACGGCGACTATCAACCGCAACTAACACACCAACACACACACACTCATATACGCACACTATATCATCCACATCCACAGCCTTGGCATCCTTTTGATACTAATCAGTGGTGCTTCTCATGCGAGGCTGCTTTTTATGTTCATTCTCACCCATGTTGCATACGTTTGTTGTGGCTGCACTCTCTCTCTCTCTCTCTCTCTCTCTCTCTCTCTCTCTCTCTCTCTCTCTCTCCTTCTATCTCTTTTTCTCTGTAGTTTTTCTCTATATCTCTGATATATGATATATAGCAGCTGTATATAATGGTCGCCATGCTCGTGTTTGCAATTAGCAAGTGGCAATTAAAGTTGGTCTGGCTGACCAAAGATACATTGAGCCATTGGCATTGAGCGCGGCATAACTGCAATCTTTATTAATGCCATATTGTATGAGCAGACAATTGCTTGACCATTATACAGAGCGCCAGACAATAGAAGTCACCACTAGATAACAAATATTTTGTTCGATTTTTAAATTGGATTTTCAACAGAAAAAACAATGACTAAAGTTTGTTTACTTTAAAGCAAAAATCCAATAAAAATATAGAGTATATAGAAGCCGAATTCATAAAAATTGAAGTGAGAATAAGCACTAAATAATAAAATATATATACTATACAAAACAATTTGATTTAAAATCAAAGTAAAAATGTTAATTTATTATTTTTTATTCTGCTCGAAATAGAAATTCTGAATATACATT